GTGTTATTTTATGGTGCAAATTGCCTTTATTTTTCAGATGTAGTGCGGTGATATTTTTCAATGCAGCCTGTGTTTCATCCCTTAGCTGTAAACACAGACCGAACTATGCATGCGGGTAGGAGTGGGAATCGTCAGTACAGCCTCCTACCCGCCATGTATTGAAAAGACATGTAACTAATTTGCTGGAAAGATTAGTGAAAGGAAAAGACAAAGAGAGTAAGAAGGAGAGAAATTATTTAATGGAAGCCACTCGCGTGCTGCTAAAGTCCATTCTCCCTTTGCGCACCTGGTTTTTGGGATCCTGCCAAATACCAGCAATAACACTGAATTCCAGTGCCAAATGTTCGAGCGAATATTTTTCTCTTCTTGAAAATCGGACTCGAAAGTCAGTATTTAAGGTCGAAAATCAGTGTTTAAGACCACTCCGTATTTCGCTTACAGTGAAAGGCGGTGGCGCTCGGAAAATAGTTCGAGAGATAGCAGATATCAATAGCAGTTAATCGGCCGATAGCTCCTTCTTCTGAAGATTGCTTACAAGCAAACTGATGGTAGATTTGACTCCCTAGCATACGGCTGTACCAGCTAATCATCTAGACGAATCGTAGAAGGATTGGTTCCCCAGCGGTAGGGTCGAACCTTGCTTGTCGGCTTTTTAAATATTCTTCTGAAAACTGGTGGCCGCTAGAGTTTACTTGTATAACACAACATGTTTTGTGGATAATGAGAGTGAAATTTCAAGGCTGATCTGCCAACAACATCGAGAAGCGATCCGAATGCAAACACGCACGAAGATGAAAAAGTGAACGTGGAATCAGTGGAGCAACAGCTGGAAGAAGTGCACTACGGATATAACATCACTGCTCTTCCGGAGCATATTTTGGTTGCGTTTTGTTTTTTACCCAGACCAGCACTAGATTTGCGAAACCGATATGTGGTTGAGAGCATAGAACTTTCGTGAGCTGAAAATCGAGATAATTGGGAATGGTCATAATTGTATTTTAAGACGAAGTAAGAGAGAGGGGGGAGGGACGAGGATGCTTT